ACTTATGGTAATGTCTTCGAAACTGACCTGTGACATACATAATGAAGGGTTACTCCAACGGTTGTTGAAGTACTTGCACCACTAATCGTCGATTCGGTTGGTTGTTCTTCATTATCTGGAGCGTTATTCTATGGAAGAGAAGTATTTTTTGGATGTGTCATCTCAACTAAAGTTTTACCACTTCTCAGACGCATAAATACTCAAACATTAAAAGTATTTAATGTATGAAGAATGAAGTTAAAAAATGCATAAAACTTTTCTTTAAAATTTTGAATTTCTTGCACAAAAGAGTCCCATTGGGCGTGCCGACTTATTTACCGTTGTTTTTGGTAAATCAAATTCAAAGTTTTCATTCACTTACAAGATAAAACTCGAAAAAATCTTAGGACATATTGTGCAAAATATTATAACAAAAAGGCGTTTGTACTTGGAACTTTGATGTCTGAATGTAGAGAATTTGGACACAAACTATAACTGGAATAATGCAGATTTGGTTTGAAAAACAAGGAATAAACAAAGAAAATAATAAAAATTATTTAAGTAAATGCTTAAAACTTAAAGTAGTAAAAGAAAGGAGTCAAATTCGTACTTCTTCTCCTAAACTATTTTCTTAATGTGACTTGGATACTTAATTTCTATAGAGATAGAGAATACATAATGAATTTTATGACCCTTGTTTACATGACTTAACTCGTCTTATATACTATTACTATGTTAATTGCCGATAACAGTTATCTTTGTAGAAATCGACATGTACTCTCTTACGTGGGCTTCAACCTTCTAATTTGCTTCCATGTGTCTTTGACATTTGGACTATTTTGAATTGCTCTAGCTGTTTTAAACCGTCTTTTAAATCTTATAATTTCTTATGTAGAAATTCTCCTCTGTCGAACCTTGGAGCATAATGTTGAAATGATTTAGCTACTTGTCCTTAGCATGTGAATTCATCTTATTTCTACTTCTATCAAATTTTTCAAATCACCATAAACCTTTTCGAGATTCTGAATATGTTTTGAAGAGAGAGCGATCATAATCTCGTGGATCTATTCTTAAAATTCTTTAGAACCAGGCTTGGCAGGTTTATAGATTATCTAAATCTTTTAAAAAAAACTAAGATAAGCAAGTCGAACTCACCCCTTCAATTGAAGTTATCAAAATTTTAAAACTATAGCTAAGTTATTTTATACTTAATAACTCATACCTATTTATCACACCTTTATAGTCGAAAAACTAAACAAAAATTCATAGGCTAACTGTTGGCTATAAAAAAAATATTTTGTTCATGTTTATTTGAAATCGGGATATCCTATACCAAAGACACCACTAGAGTGAATGACACATTTTAAATAAGATGTTGTAACTTAGCCGAATCACTTTTTAGAAAGGATTGAAGAGTTCACCAAGTTGAGCAACATCAAAAGAGAAATAAAAAAGGAAATGTCAAAGAATGAATCACCGATAGATTTAGGTAGTGACATATCATTTAATGCATTTAAGTTTTAATCTAACAATTTAACCTGTTTTTTGTATATAACACACTGTATAGAGTTATAAAATATTGTGGTAACTTTTGGACAATTTTTGTGCTCCTAATTTCTGTATTGCATAATACATTGGTTCTGTGTGAATAGTGGGTTGGGTGGGTTCAAAGATGCATATTTTGACACATTTTTTGCTTATAAAAAAAATACATGGGACTTTACGGATGTACATCTTTGTAAACCCCCTTATTATTTTTTTGAAAAAATAAGGTTTATCCGGAGATGTATATTCAGACGCACCTTTAACTTGTTAAAAAAACAAAACACACACACACACACACACACGCACGCACGCACGCACGCACGCACGCACGCACGCACGCACGCACGCACGCACGCACGCACGCACGCACGCACGCACGCACGCACGCACGCACGCACGCACGCACACACACACACACACACACACACACATTCAGACGCACCTTTAACTTGTTAAAAAAACAAAACACACACACACACACACACACACGCACGCACGCACGCACGCACGCACGCACGCACGCACGCACGCACACACACACACACGCGCACACACACACACACACACACACACACACACACACACACACACACACACACACACACACACACACACACACACACACACACACACACACACACACACACACACACACACACACACACACACACACACACACACACACACACACACACACACACACACACACACACACACACACACACACACACACACACACACACACACACACACACACACACACACACACACACACACACACACACACACACACACACACACACACACACACACACACACACACACACACACACACACACACACACACACACACACACACACACACACACACACACACACACACACACACACACACACACACACACACACACACACACACACACACACACACACACACACACACACACACACACACACACACACACACACACACACACACACACACACACACACACACACACACACACACACACACACACACACACACACACACACACACACACACACACACACACACACACACACACACACACACACACACACACACACACACACACACACACACACACACACACACACACACACACACATTATTGATCTACAACTTTTATAAATAAGACTTCTCATTCCATTTTCTTTATATAAACTAGAATGAATACATATCACATTTTATATTTATGTATTTCAATTATGCAAAACTCTCACTTCAATTTCGAATGACTTTTTACAATAATAAAGAAGCACATCTATAAGTGAAAAAAACATATCCATAATTTTATTGCAATACTTATACAACATAGTCAAGTATGGACTTGGATCCTCTTTTCTTTGATGTTTTGATTCAATCCTCCCCCTATTTTTTTCATTTCAATGATTGATTATCACACGAACAATACACAATAGTACAAAGAAGATAAACAATAATATATTTAATGTGATAATAAGACATGATAGAAATATGAGAAGATTTAAATCCATCAAATATGATAGGAGTTTTATGTTAGTAGAAAATTTATCAATTCTAATTAAAAAAAACTAACCAAATCTTTCCCTTAGGTTTATCTATTTATTAAAAAACATATATAAGAAATGAGAGGTATCAAAAGACTTCAATTAAAAGTAAAAAAAATTAAACTTAAGAGAGATAAACACCAAAACAAGTTTCTTTATTTATATTTATTAAATAGTAAAAGTATTTAATCTCAAATATATATTAAATATATCAAATATTTATTAAATTTTTTATATATTTGAAAAATATATATAATTAAAAAATATAAAAAATGAAGTAACTAAAAGTGAATAATTGATAAAGAAAAATAAAATCGATTTTACTTAAAAAGAAGTTCAAATAGTTATCAAGAGAGACGGTAGAGAGAAGTCTTTCCATATCTTCTACAATATACGATCAAATCAAACCCTCTATTTTATCTCTTTCTCTTACTATCATTTTACTTATTTTATATATTTTATATATCGTAAACAAGATATTTATTTTCAAAATAAGAATTATATTATTTAAAGATATTTAAAGATATTATATTATTTAATAATATTTTAATATTCAACTATGTCATTATATTATTTTTAAAATAAGAATGTAATTTGGTGTGATAAATGTCCTTAATTAATTAATTAATAGTATTAAAATATTTTACATTATTGTTAGATATTCTTTTTCTTTTTATAAAATATGTATATATTTAAAAATTATAGAAAATAAAGTAATGAAAAGGGCATAATTGGGAAAGAAAAACATAACCGACTTTAGCAAATAAAGTTCAAAATAGTCGAATAGACCGAATCAAACCCCTCTCTTTCCTCTCCCCTCTGTGCTTTAATTTTACTTATTTTATATATATATATATAACGTACTACTTCTCTTCGATTTTTATTATTGTTGTTATTTACACTGTTCTCTCTTCCTTTTGAGGTTACAACTATTCTCTCCCTCTCTCTCTATGTTATTCTTTTCTGGGTTTATTTATTTATTTTATAATAATCTTCTTTTTCTTACAGAGAACAGTATTAGAATTAGAGTATCACGATCATTTAACCCAGGTGAGCAATTTACGTCTTTTCTTATTTTTGTTTGTAATTTTATCATTGCTTTCTCTTTCCCCTTTTTTGGTGTTAAAATTTGAATTTTTTTTTGATAGTTTCTGGACTTTGTTGAAGTGACGTGAAATCAGTTTGTGGGGTGTTGAAAATTTTGATTTTTGTGTGTGTCACTCATGTGATTGGAGATTGTGATCATTTGTTCACTTTTGTTGAATTTAATTATACATTGGAAGTGGAGGATGGGTTTGTTGTTGGGTTTTGTTTGAATGCTTGAGTGAATACTGAACATTGACGCCGACTTCCATAATAATTTGAAGAAAAATGAATAAATTGAGCGTAATCACAACACGGACACACCTTTTTTGTGTGGATGTTACAAAGTTTAGGTGTCTACTCTTTAGCAATGCGGAGATTTGCAGTTAAATGTGGCTTAAGTGGCCTCAATTGTGGTGGCGGACCGTTTTTTTAAAACCCTAGACATGATATCTACATAGTTTGGTATTGTTATTGATAGAATTCTTCTGGTATCTTGCTGCTGATGTGTAAATGGCTTGTTATCTATGTAGCCCTGCACGGAGCACCGGACAGAACACTGACACAATGACACGAACACCAACACATTGATAATGGTTATAATTTGAAAGATAAAATGAGTGTAATCTCATGTGTTAGTGTCAAACACTGACGTGTATCATACAGACAGACACCAGATATGTCTTTGTTCAAAAATGTATGTGCTATGGGGCTTGTAATTGAGTATTGTTATTGAATGAACTCTTGTGCTATTTAATTACTGGAATTGACTTATTTTGTGTATTATATATTATTGAGACTTGAGAAGCTGAGTTGCCTTGTTTGCAGGTCTCCATAGAGCAATGGAGTCTCCCGATGAGATGGGATGCCAGGCACCAGAACGTCCTATTCTTTGTGTTAACAATTGTGGTTTCTTCGGAAGGGAAGCTACCATGAACATGTGTTCCAAGTGCTACAAGGACGCATTGTTAACCCAGGAGCAGGACAAACTTACTGCGACATCAGTTGAAAACATTGTAAATGGCAATGGAAAGCTAGCTATGACTGCAGGTGTTGTTGATGTACAAGTTGAAAATGTGGAGGTCAATACAGTATGTCCCGAAGTTCCAGATAATTCGGTCTTTGGCGAGAGTGTGGAGACGAAAGCCAAGACTGGTCCTAGCAGATGTGCCACTTGCCGGAAACGTGTTGGACTAACTGGTTTCAGCTGCAAATGCGGCAACCTCTTCTGTGCAATGCATCGATATTCTGATAAACATGAATGCCCTTTTGATTATAGAACTGTTGGTCAGAAAGCCATAGCAGAAGCCAATCCAGTAATTAAGGCAGATAAACTTGATAAAATCTAGCTATGCTTCATCTTTTATCTGCAAGTCTTCATATGCATTAAACTGCCTGGGTTTTAAATGTCCTTTAGTGTCTATAAGATGATCTGTCGTGATAATCAAGGTCAATTTTAGGGAAAACCATTCCATGTTTGTGCTGGTTTGATGAACACTTTGGCTCATTTTGTATCGGTTTCATGCTTCGTATGCAATTAATTTCTTTCTCTCATAGCTTGTTGTGTGTTATTTTGCTATTGCGTTCTCTTTAATACTCGTATTGTTTTCACTAGTGTGAGAATATGCGTAACCGACTAACACAGGCCTACGGCGTAGGCCTAATTAACTTACACAGACTCAGGTTAGGCTAGACTTTTTTCTTCAATAAAAAACTTACGTTTTGAATTTTTTAGCCGACGAGACTCAAATTTGACAAAGTCTAGTTCGGTCCATTCTATTGTCAACCTTAATTCTCATGCATAAATCATAAGCTATTGGTAAGGTTTTTATTTATTAATTTGTATTTTATTAATTTCTGAGCTCATTCTTTTCGATTGAATGAACAAGGTAACAGATATTGAGAGCAATCAGATTGAGTGCAGATTTGTGCAGAAATTAGGTGAAACTGCAGCTTTAGATACTAGAGGCATTATCTTGTTTAAACATTGTTTATTATTCCAAAGATTTGCTGAAGATATGTTAAGAACAACATCTGTTGTTTCTGAACTGAAAACAATATAGTAAATAAAGTTACACATTTTGTGTGATTCTTGATGAAAGTATATATTTTTTTCTTAACTGGAACTTTGATTAGTGGTCTGAAAGGGGATATAAGGATAATGTAAGTTATTATATTTTTTTTTGATTTTTTTTTGTTAGTTGAGCTAAGATACATTAATATAGTAATGTCACTAAAATTACCATATACTAAAGGTATGTAGTTAATTCTCTATCATGGAGGATGAGAAAATGAGAGTTACATTATATTGTATTAAATAAAACAAGGCAAATTCAAATAGGGCGGACTATGTCCACCGGTCATTGAAGAAGCCAACTATGCGAGAAACCAAAACCAAGACTTTCAACTAAGACCACCATATCAAAGCAATAACCAAGGCTACCAATCGATAGGTAATAGCCAAGGTTACCATCAAGGGTGGAGGCAAGAGCTGAGTTCTTCAAACTGTCAACCTTATCAAAATTACAACCAACTGTAACAAAACCAAGGAGAAGGCTTTAAGATTAAGGAGATTTTCAACCAATTTATGCAAATGTCCATCTCCACTCAAAAAAGTACGGATGCGGAAATTCGGAATCTTAAGACTCAAGTTGGACAATTGTCCAAGCAACTAGCCGACTAACATAAGGACACCTTTATGGCTAACACTCAAGTGAATCCAAAGAAGCATTGCAAGGCCATCTTTACAAGGAGTGTAAGAACAATTGGTGGGGAAGTTGAAGAAAACATTATAATTGAAAAGGAGGATGTGATTATGGAGGAAGTTGAAAAAAATTATGAAAATAAGGTTATTGAAAAGAATGACGTAGAGGAGAAATTGAAAAAAAAAAGGAAAAAGGAAATAAGTATGAGGGAGAATTTCTACAGAAAAAGTTACCATACCCTATCGCTCATATGAAAAAAGAAAATGAAAAGCACTATGCGAGATTCTTGTATATATTCAGTCGGTTGCAAGTAACCATTCCTTTCTTCGAGTCTCTCGAGTAAATGCCTAAGTATGCCAAATTCATGAAGGAGATACTTACGAAAAAAGAGGTGCATGAATAAGGACACCATTGAGCTCAATGCTAATTGTAGTGCTATTGTCCAAAGAATTCTTCCGCAAAAAGGAGATTCGGGAAAAGTAGCTATACCTATAACTATAGGTAGTGATTTCAAATGCAAAGCTTTGGTCGATATGGGAGCTGGTATAAATTTGATTCCTTTATTCGTTGTCAGAAGACTTGAAAACATGGAAAGAAGTCAACCAACATGACTTTACAACTTACGGACAAGTCTATGACTCGTCCTCACGGAGTTTTTGAAGACGTGTTATTGAAATTCGACAAACTTTTATTTCCGGCTAATTTCGTAGTCATGAACATGAAAGATGACGAGGATACATCTATAATCCTAGGAAGACCCTTCACGAAGACCGATGGGATGTTAATCGATGTTGATGATGGTATCATGAAGGTGAGGACAAATGATGAGGAAATGTGTTTCACACTTTTCAAAGGGGTGGTGTATTTGAATCATTTGGAGAAAAATTTTCAAGTGAAAAATAATGATGCAAGGATTGTGGCAAAGAAAAAGAAAGAGGATGACGCAAGGTTTCATCAAAGAAAAAGAAGGAAGAAAGAGCCAATAATGAAGAAGTGTTTAAAAAGAAGGATGAAGAGGCTAAAGATGCTTTAATGAAGTCATGTTGGGACTTTTCTTTCTTAAGAAAAAATGGACCAAGAACAGGTCATGATAATGGTTGAGGTCTTTATTGTTAGAGTTTTTTTTTCGGAAGCTGATCCATTCATTTTTAGTTTCGAGGTTTCAAACCTCCGAACCGTCGAGTTCAAACGATGCTAAACAAAACGCTAGTTGGGAGGCACCCCAACATTGTAAGTACTCTTTCAATTTTACTACTTTTATAGTGTAATTTAGTTTAGGAAGTGTTGTGGTAGAATGAGATGAAAAGAAAAAAAAATCAAAAAATTGTCACATTTGCCTTGAGTTCGCTAGGCGAACCTAGGGCGAATGTCTGTTGGGAAGTTCCCTAGGCAAACTGAGTGAGACAGAGAAAAATAGCAATTTTTCTGCCACATCACTTAAGTGGTATTTTGGGTGTGCCAGAGATGCATGTGCCCAATACCCTCTTTTCAGATTTGGTGGGGTAAACTTTCCCCATTCCCCTTTATGTCTTCACTTTTCCCTCTTCTCTCTATACTTTCCACAAAAAATACACCACACACAATTTTCTCTGCTCTCCATTGTACCCGTACAAGTGAAGTTGTTTCCAAATTTAATTTCAACTCATTCTCCTCTCAACATAATTCAGGTTTGAGTTTCTGTATTCATTCCCTTGTTCTTGTTAGCAAAATGTTGTTAGGGTTAGTTTGAGAAAATGTTAGAAACTTGCTTCTAGGCTTTGTGAATCTATTGCATGTCCTTTATTGTTGGTTTATATTGCTTTGCATGTTGGTTCTGAACTTCAAAAGTTCTGAGGGTTGAACTTGCTTAGGTTAGAATTAAAGTGGAATTGAATGAAACCTTATGAACTCTTAACCTTTTACTTGAACAATTATGGTAGTCGGTGCTGTTACTTGATACTCATTGTGTACCATGAATAGAAATGACTGAATGTAGAAAACTGGCCGTATAATTGATTTTCTTTCAAGTAGGCAGAACCTACAATTTTGAAAATTCGCAGGGTTCTCCTTGAGTTCGCACATCAAACATGGAGCGAAAGTTCGCTAGGCAAACTCTTGGCGAACATGACAACATAATTAACTTTTGAGTTGTGTTGAGATTTTTGATTTAATTCTTTGTGCATTTCTTTCTCACTAATTTATCATGTGTTTGATTTGCTGGTTTTGTTTGGTGAATGTGCAGATGGAACCCCCTAAGGCAACTCCTTCCAAGAAAAGAAAGGTTGGAAGTACAAAGGATATTGATTGGTCCAGAGGAGCTAAGTAAAATGCTCGTTATGTTGCTCTCGAGAAGAGGAGCATTTTTCCAGAAAAGAGGTTTAACATCAACCCTCAAGATTCCTACTAGGCGGTAGCGGGAAACCTTTACAGGAAAAAGTGGAACAGGTTATTCATGCCTTGTGAGAGCTATACTTTGGTTTGCGGAAGAGAGGTGAAATTTGATCAGGATACTATTAACCATGTTTTGGGTAAGCCTCTCACCATGGGGAAAGATGAAATTAATGAGTATCATCAAAATTTGAGGCTGTATAGAGACACGAATACCACTTCTGGTGCATTATTGTTAGAGGGCAAATTGGTGGAATTGAACCCGTCTGGGGTTTCTAAAAGATACCACAGGGAGGATATACGACCGTTAGCTCAACTGGTACTTCTCTTGGTGTTGACTAACATCAAGCCGAAGTCGCATAGCTCCACTATTCCCATTCCTGTTGCACACTTAGTTCACAACATGTTGATTAGAATTCAGATTGATGTGGCTAGGATTATCGTTGATGAGATGCACACTATTGTTGAGAGTGGACTTAGATCAGGGTCGCGAGTTAATTTCCCCTTGATCTTTCCATGTCTAATCATGGTTTTGTGCGTGCATGCTAGGGTGAAGCTACCCTTCCGCTTTCAGGTGACGATCCCGAATGCTATTGATGACAATTATGTTGATAAGTTTTACAGGCCTAAGGGAATGAGAGGAGGATAAACCTCTAGTGTTGGTGCTGATTCTGGTACAAGTTCAGGAGCTGGTGATGCTTCCAGTTTTGGAGTTGCAGGCTCAGAGGGATTTGACCCGTTCTAGAGGGATATCTATAATTATAACTTGGAGTGGATGACAATAACTTAGCGTGCCATGATTGGTATTCATAATTCTATGTAGGTGTTACAACTGAAGTGCAAGGAGCCCTTTGTGGAGCGTTCAATGATGACTAAGGAGCAATTCCTAGCTCATTTTGATTGGCCCAAGGCCAAACCATATTTTGGAGAGGGGGCAGGTGTAGCTGATCTTGAGGATGCTGAGGAGACAGACATAATGATAAGGCTGGTTCTGATGATGTTTCTGGTTCTAGAGAGGAGGTTGATCTAGAGGAGAAGACCGAGTCCATGAGGACTAGTTTTCGTTGTTGGATATTTTGAGCATGATCTTAGGCGACTTCCTTTGGTTCTACAAAGTGAAGTTTCATGTTATCTTAGATCATTGCTATTTTTATTTTATGTTTATTGTATTCCCTTTTTGATGTACAATATCCACTTGGTGGATTATTTTGGATAATGTTGTTTGTATGTACCACTTTTGAGTATTAGTACTTTTGTTGGTGTTTTTACACCATTAA